GGAGAGAGAGAGAGAGAGAGAGAGAGAGAGAGAGAGAGAGATTGGGGGGGGGCAAAGAGAGAAAGAGATAGAGAGTAAGAGAGTGGTTGTGTAGACAGACATACATATCTGACACAAACCTGATAAGATACTCCCACTAATAGCCCCGACTTCAGTACAGCCGTACACTACACTCACTGTGTTGGAGATTCGTAACGTTTCCAGGAACAGTTTCTGGAGAAGAAGAAAGGACATTGAAATAATGTATATTTTATGCCACCATCGACACAATTCACATAATTCATGAGGTGGGCTTTGACCATGTCTGTTGCGGCTAACCCAGTTTAAGAGGGATACGACATCCTAGTACAAAGACCGACACACTCCGACATTCTCATAGACACAGATTGTCTGATACGAATGAAATCATCAACCTAGCACACCCCCCCCCGAAAAAAGAAAAGCACATTGCTATCGTAAAATTCTTAAAATCTTCGTAACAAGTGAACCGGAAAATGCAGGAAAGATTTCTTTTCCAAGGAGATTCTCCATCGCACGCATGAAACCCCGCGTTGAATTCCCGAGCGGATAGAAATTTTATCGTATATCTCGCTATCTGGTCCTAGCCGCTACATCCCATAAAAAAAGAATCTCAATATAATATGCTACATATTCCCCGTTTTCTTTTTCTCGCGATTCTAATAAAGCTAACCACACTCCACACCATCTATCAGAAATTAAAATCAATTTGTACGAGGGTCGTCCAGAAAGTAAGTAAAGTTTTAAATTAATTATAAAAGAAATAACTTTCCCAATCAAAACGATTAATTTTTAATACCTCATATATATGACTACTTCTCCATGTAGTCACCAGAATTGCCTGTTGGTGAGGCATTTATTGTCAGGGCGTGGGACGCGCCTCTGAATCCCCTTATATTATAGTAGGAAGCTGCCGCCTGCGATGTCAGCCAATGTCAAGTTTCTCCTATGAGATCAGCGTCTGAGTCGAAGCCCTGCCTGGCCAAAAACTTTTTCAAATGCAGGAACAGATGAAAGTCACTTGGAGCCAGTCTTGGCTGTGCAGTGGGTGCTTCAACTGTTCCTATCCGAAGGAAGCGATCAGGTTTAAAGCCATCAGGTTTTGGGTCTGAGCAGACGTGTGAGGAGTTGCATCATCGTGAAGCAGAACAACGCCGTCGCTAAGCATTCCGCGTCTTTTGTTTTTGGAATCACTCTACGCAGTTTTTAAAGTGTGTTGCAGCACACATCTGAGTTAATTGTCTTTCTATTTCACAAACATTCTACTAAAACAACTCCTTGCCTGTCCCAAAACAATGTACACGTGACTTTTTTTCCTGACGCAGCCTGCGTATTTTGGAACATAGGGCACGTTCGATCACCTGAAAGTCTCCATGATTTGTAAAAAAATATTTTTGCTCCTGAAAAAAACAACCTTTAGATATTCTTTTCTACTCTCCGTAGGTGGTTGGCAGGTGCTCCTGTGTGGCTTGCTCCCCGATCAAACTTCTATCGTTCTTATATCTTGTCCTTCTTATTATTGCTTGTTACTCTCTTGCAACACCCCTAAACTGCAGCACTTATATATTACTTTATTGTGTTGTTAACGCCGTAAAACTCTTTCTATAACTAGATACCTCTCAATGTCTCAATAGCTGAACACTTCGTCACAGAACAACAACAACAAACACAACAACATCAATAACAACAACAACAACAAAAACAACAATAACACCACCACCACCACCACCAACAACAACAACAGCAACTACAACAACAACAACAACAGCAACAACGACAACTACAACAACAACAGCAACATCCTCAATAAGAAAAATATATTGACAACAAAAGCCAACAACAAAAGAAAGCATCAAAAGACAACACGAAACTGTTTACATTTTCAAGCCTTGCTTAACGGCATGAGAACAAACTATCATTTTCTTAAAGCAAAAGAATAAAAGCTTGTCTTGCTTCTTCAATTTTTGGAATTTCTTTGCTTTGCAGCCAAGCGTAATGTCGAACAAGAAGGTTGCACAGATCTGCAAGCAAAATCCGAAGCGTTTACTTAACCCAACTGCAGATTGTGTGTGCGACGGTGTGCATTTCGAGGAATAAAAGACTTTCGAAATTGTTCTGTAAGCATTTTTTCAAGTCTAGTAAGCACCCTCCATTCCATCTCCGAATAAATTTCTCGGTCATAAAGTTCCGGATAAAAAACTGATGCTCTGAAATGCCCTCTTTCTTAAAACGCCCCCTAGACTCTTTGTTTTTCCGCATTACTTATATAACGCGAATACTTCAAATAACGTTACCTTGACACAGATATGTTTGCAGCGGAGCTTGCATATCTGGAGGGCATCGCCCTACTTGTCACCAGTTGTGTACTTTCGGATGTAGGGCGATGGGGATCAGCCAGGAACTGACACAAGTTTTTTGGGTAGCTTTTTCTTTTTTTTTTTGGGG